CAAGTTAACCAGGCAGGTGGGGGCCATCGGGAGAGGGATGTCACCCAAGCAGAGGGAACAGCGGGCAGAGTGAGCTTAGCGTGTTTGAGCAACAAGAGAAGAGGCTGGAGAAGTGGGCAGGGACCATGCTAAGACAGGGGAGTAGCATGATCAGCTGAGTGTTTTTAAAAGGTCACCCCACTGCTGCATGAATGGGTTGGATGGGGACCAGCGTGGGCCAGCAGTTGGGGAAGAAGAGAAGTGAACAGGTCTGAGGTAGATTCCAGAAGCAGGATCTTGGGTGAGAGTTACATACAAAGGTGAGGGCGTGGGGGCAGGTGAGAGGCAAGGGAGACCCCCAGGTTTCTGACTTAAGCACCTGAATGCTGGTAATGCTATGCACAGTGATAGTAATGTGAGGAAAAGATTTGGTGTAGTTTGAGACAGAAGCTTTAGCCTTAGTCCCTGTGACATGTACAAGAGACTCATGTTGATGCCCAGCATGTGGGAGATATTCAAGTCTGACGCTCAGGAGAGAACTCTGTGCTGGAGGTAGAGATTAGGCATCGCCAGCAGATGGCAGGAATTGAAACCACAGGGAAGGGCCAATGTGAGCCTTCTGTGTGAGCAAAAATGCAGAGCTTGGCCAGCTGTCACCTTGATTCCAGATTCTATGCTTGATGCTGGGGACACAGCAGTGAGCCATCTGGCTTGCCATCTCCAGTGCCTTCCCTAGGATTGGCAGGCGTTGACTGATCCTCCTGTCCCCTACTTTCTCCAGGGCCGCCACCACCACCAATGAAGACACGCACTGTGCTCCGGGGTGATGATGTCCTCCTGCCCTGTGACCAGCCATCCAATCTGGCCCGGGCCTTGTGGCTGCTCAACGGGAGCATGGGCCTGAGTGACGGGCAGGGCGGCTACCGTGTAGGCGTGGATGGGTTGCTGGTGACAGACACACAGCCTGAGCACAGCGGCAACTATGAGTGCTACGCTGAGGAGAATGGCCTCCGCACCCTGCTGACCTCCTACAGCCTCGTGGTACGGCCTGCCACTCCTGCCCCAGCTCCACAAGCCCCTGCCATGCCTGGGGCACAATTGGCATCTGATGTACGGCTGCTCTATGTGCTAGCCATCGCTGCACTTGGTGGCCTTTGCCTCATCCTGGCTTCCTCCCTCCTCTATGTGGCCTGTCTTCGGGGCGGCAGACGAGGGCACCGACGGAAATACTCACTGGGTCGGGCTGGCAGGGCAGGGGGCTCTGCTGTGCAGCTGCAGACAGTCTCAGGCCAGTGTCCAGGAGAGGAAGATGAGGGTGACGATGGCGAGGGGGCTGGAGGCCTAGAGAGTGGCTGTCTCCAAATCATTCCGGGGGAAGGAGCTCCAGCCCCACCTCCACCACCACCACCACCACCACCAGCCGAGCTGACCAATGGGCTGGTGGCATTGCCCAGCCGGCTGCGCAGGATGAATGGCAACAGCTACATGCTCCTGAGGCAGAGCAACAATGGAGTGCCCACAGGGCCCTGCTCCTTCGCTGAGGAGCTCAGCCGCATTCTGGAGAAGAGGAAGCACACACAGCTCGTAGAGCACCTGGATGAGAGCTCTGTCTGAGCCCAGCGTCCCAGGACAAATGCTCTTCCAACCAGCCTGTCTGCCCAGGCTGGGCTGCTGCCTCCCAACACAGCCCTACCTTCACCGCCCCCCCCCCCCCAACTCCAGGCCCTTCTAACTTTTGATGTCCCTATAGGGCTGGCCAGAGTCAGGCCCAGCCAAAGTCCCCTCAGTCTCCACAGACCCATCTGTGAGCAGCCCAGGCCAACTGGTTCTCCTCAGAGGTAGGTGCTCCCTCAGGTTCTTCCGCCCCAGCCCCAGTTCCTATTCCTTTAACCTGAGCACGTGGGAGGAGAGGACCCCATCCTCCTGCCCATTCATCTGCTCAAATCCTCCCTCTTTCTCTCAGGCAGGGCTTGCAGGTCCAGATGGCCTCAATGTCACCATCCTCTGCATGGCCCCATGTGCTGGATGGTCCTGACACCAGACAAGACCTCTGTAGCCAAAAGAGCCACTTGAGCCCTACGTACATTCACATGCACACATGGAAGAATGTCTACCAGCTGGGCTGCAGGCCCCCACCCCCACCTTCTGGTGCATTCTTATTTCATCCCCTTTTCTGGGCTTTGGTTCCCTCCCAATTGCCATATCCCATCCTATCTAGCTATCTAGTCCTCTTCCCTAGTCCCAGCCCCCTATGATGACCTCTATCAAGAACTTGGGAACAGGCCGGCGGTGGGAGGTAAGACTGTATCATTCTCCTCTTCTCCCTTAATGTGTAGCCCTTACGCATCAACCCCCCACCCTCACCCCCCCATGCCCTTGGTCACTCTCGTGACAGAGGCAGAGTTCTAGGCATGTCCCTCACATACATGTGCTCACATTTCCACTCACATGCACCTTATGAGCCTCCTCTTGCTGCCTCAGACCTGCCTATCAGGTTTGGTCCATGGACATTTCAGAGAGAGCCCTCTCTGGTGTAGCTGTCCTTGCAGACACTTCCCTAGGACGGGCAACCCACACTGCACTCAATGAGCCAGCCTCCCTTTTGGGGACCAAGCATTTGCTACCCCTAGATTAGAGCAGGAGGAAGATCTGGTAACTCACCTGGCACATGAAGCCCGTCCTTGGAACTATGCAAAGGGCAGAGGCTGGGAGTTTGGATGCTTGGCTCCACCCCTGTCCTACCTCACCGGGGCACTTTTAGGGTCCAGTGGCCTCTGAAGTCTCCAGGCCCAAATGGGACAATCAAATCCTGACTGAGCTCCCCCATTCCCTTGGGTGAGGATGACTGTTATTTTTGTAGCTGAGAACGTGGGATCCCACGGATTTTTACTGCCCTTCACCCTTCCTCACCCACCTCTCCCCCACAATGAATGTATTTATTGTGAGATGGTTATACTCTTTAGGAATGCCTCCAATCCCCCCTCCCCCTCCAGGTGGGTGGAACGGACATGTGACAGTGGGGAGCCTGGACTCCGCTCCTCCACGCCGTTGGTTAATAAATACCCTTTTCCCCATGACTGTGAGTAGTCTGCTTGGTCTAAACTGGCCTTCCCCTGCTCACCAGGGGACAGGCTTCTGAGTCTTTGGAAAAGTGCTGCAGGGTTAGGTCTGCTCCCCACAAAACCATTTGCAGAGGAAATTGGGATCCTCAGCTTCCATCCTGGCTGCCCTTTGTTAAGGCTCTCACTAGTAACTGATCATGGCATGAAGGGCACAACAAAAGTAGAGTGGTTCAGGACTCATATAAAGGTTTCTAGGTTTTTACCTCCTACCTCTTTTCCTCACCATCTTCCCCACCTTTTTTCTTTTTTTTTAGCTAAACCCCTAGAACAGTGGTTCTCAACCTTCCTAATGCCACGACCCTTTAATACAGTTCCTCATGTTGTGGTGACCCCAAATTTCATTGTTACAAATTGAACATAATGAAAGCATAGTGATTAATTACAAAACAACATGTAATTATATATGTGTTTTCCGATGGTCTTAGGCGACCCCCAAAGGGTCAAGACCCACAGGTTGAGAACTGCTGCCCTAGAAGATGCTCCCCATTTACCAGTAACCCTGAGAATCGCTCTCTCCAAGGGTCACAGCCTTTGATACTAAGCATCTTGAAAGGTTTAGTACATGCCCCACTTCTGGTTTTATGATCATGAAAAATGGGGTTGTGCTTAAAATATTTTGAAGTAAGACCTCAGGTGTGACTGTGGGCACATTTATTCATCTCAGTTTTGTCATGTACACGCATTCATATAGCCTCGCCCAGCGCCAGGTTCACAGCAGAGAAGGTGCTGGCGCTCTCTAGCTCAGTGGCTGCAGAAACGGGACCTCAGAGACGCTTCAGAAGCCAGCGTGGAAGTCCCTCGCTGTGCCGAGACCACTGTCATCAATTTGGATTTCAAAGAGGAGGACCCAGGAAGAGCCCAGAAGACTCTCAGGTTTCAGTCATGCCAACTGGCTAATTGAGACACAAGGTCACTGCCCCTCGCAGGGGGCACCAAAAGCAACAGGCAGCCCTTCTCTGTCCCGAGCAAAAGTTTTGGCACCAACTTTCTCTTTCGCGGGCTCCATCTGTCCGTCTGGGCTTGTAACCCCCGGAACCAAAAGAGGAGGAACCGCCTTCACTGGGGCTGGGGCTGGAGTCGGGGCAACTCTTCACTGCGCTTGCCCCTGGGCGGGGGCAGGACCCTGAGCCTCTCGGGGGCGCAGCCCGCCCGGCGCCGTCGGCTTGTTGGTGAAGGGGTGCCACTGGCCCTGGACGCTCGGGCTGTCCGTGTGGAAGGGCTTGCGGATGCGGATGATGTCCAAGCCCGACTGGGTCGCGAGCTTCTTCACCAGGGCCGTGATCTCCTCGACCGACTTGTTGTTGAGGCTCTCCTCCCGCACCGCCCCGTTCACTGGCAGGAGGGAGGTGGGTGAGAGGCGGCGGGCCGGTCAGACCTCAGACGCGGGAATGGAAACGGGCCCGCCCGCCCGCAGGCCCCCGCCGCCCCGGCCCCCGCAGGCCGCCCCCAGCTCCCGCCCCCTCCCGGCCCACTCACGGTATTCGGCCACGACTCTGGGCACATGGCACGGCCGCGCGTTCACGTATATGACGACCCCCGGGTTCTGTCGGGCGAAGTCGGCCACCTCCTGTTCCACGAACTCCCTGGGAAACCCCAAAAGGGTGAGCACGGTGACCCCTGACCCGGGCGACCTCTGCCGGGAGTCGCCGCCCGCGCCCCTCGCAGGCTCACCTGGCGCCGCGGGACGAGGGCGCGTCGCGGCTGAGGCGGAAGCTCAGGCGCTGCAGCTGCTGCACGTAGCGGCCCAGCCCGTTGTGGAGCACGCTGGTCAGGAAGCGGCTCGGAGTCCCGCGCGCCGTCATGGCTGCAGCGCCCAGGCTGCCGAGCCCCGGCTCGAGGGGAGGGGGCGGGGCTAACCTGGGCTTCCGGTTCCGGGGGCACGCGCCCCGGGGAGTTTTGATTCCGAGGTCCTGGCGTGTGGCGCGTGCGAGTGAGTGACCCACGTTGCGAGCGAAAGTCATGAGCCGCGAGTGGTGACACGGGCCAGGCTCGGAGCGGCGGAGACCCCGCGGGTGACCCGGAGGGAAGACACGCGCGCGGGTGGAGAAGGGGCGCGGAGAGGGGCGGGGGCCGCACGGTGGCGCCCTAGTCGTGTCGTGCCCTTTGGGGGCAGGAGCCGCGGAGAGAGCCCCTGCTTGGGGAGCTAGAGCAGGGGGGCCGCGGAGAGGACGCCGAGGGCTGCAGGGATGAGGACGACGCAGAGACGCCGCGGAGGGCAGTAGCGGTGGAGAGAATCTGGAGGAGCCGTCATCGGTGAAGGGCTGCGATGGGAGAAGCTGTGAGGGGCCAGACCGGGACCGAGGCGTGAAAGGATCGTGCAGATGGCCTGGGGTACAAGTAGCAATGTAGAAGGGCCGAAGAGGATTCAGACAGGTGTGTATGAGGGAGAAGTTTGAAGAAAGGGAGAAGCCACCTCGGGTGCCGTGTGGAGCATCCCTAGGGTCTGATTACGGAAGGTACCTGCACCAGGCACCTAAGGCATCGATCGGAAGCAGGGGCTTCCGCCATTTGACTAGGAATGTGGGTCCTTCTCCGATGCGTGTACCCCCTCCGTATCCTGCTGTCCCTGCGCGGGAAGTGGATGGGCTGGAGGGGCCTGCCTCGAAGCTTGGTCCCAGGCCCTCCTCGAAGACGGTACAGGAAGGAGGCTCTCCCAGCCCTGGAGGTGCCAGTGTTGCCTGTAACTGCAACGGAAATCCGCCAATATTTGCGGGCACACGGGATCCCCTTCCAGGATGGCCACAGCTGCCTGCGGGCACCCAGCCCCTTTCTGGGAGCCTCGCAGCTCAAGGACCAGACTGGTGCTACCACTTCCTTCAGCCTCTACATTAACAAGACCACAGGCCGCTTTCTCTGCATGACCAGCCTAGCAGAGGGCAGCTGGGAAGACTTCCAGGCCAGCGTGGAAGGGCGTGGGGATGGAGCTAGAGAGGGAATCCTGCTGAGTGAAGCCCCAGGAGCTGAGGACAGCGAGGAGGTCCGGAGGATCTGGGACCGCGCGGTACCTCTCTGGGAGCTGCCTGAGCAGGAGGAGGCGCAGCTGGCTCGTGTGATGTTCGGCCTTACCAAGGTGACAGACGACGCACTCAAGCTTTTCAGTGTGCGGTATCTGCGGCCTGCTCGGAGCCTTGTCTTCCCTTGGTTCTCCCCTGGAGGTTCGGGATTACGAGGCCTTAAGCTCCTAGGGGCTGAAGGCCAAGGGGATGGAGTGCACTACGTGGAGACCACCATTCCTCGGCCTGGAGCCTACCACAATCTGTTTGGATTACCGCTGATCGGTCGTCGAGATGTTGAGGTGGTACTGACGAGTCGTGAGCTGGACTGCCTGGCCTTAAACCAATCCACAGGGCTGCCCACTCTTGCCCTTCCCCGAGGAACAACCTGCTTGCCCCCTGCCTTACTTCCTTACCTCGAACAGTTCCGACGTATCGTGCTCTGGCTTGGGGATGACCTTCGGTCCTGGGAAGCTGCCAAGTTGTTTGCCCGCAAACTGAACCCCAAGCGATGCTCCTTGGTGCGGCCTGGGGATCAGCATCCCCGCCCCCTGGAGGCCCTAAACCGAGGCTTAAATCTTCCTCGAATTCTGCGCTCTGCCCTGCCCGCTTGGCACAAGTCTATTGTGTCTTTCCGGCAACTTCGGGAGGAGGTACTAGGAGAACTGTCAAATGTGGAGCAGGTAGCTGGCGTTCGCTGGAGCCGCTTCCCAGACCTCAATCGTCTCTTGAAGGGACATCGGAAGGGCGAGCTGACAGTCTTTACAGGTTACCCTTTGGGAAATCACTGCTTGGGTGGTAGCAGAGGACCAGGTGACATGTGGGTGTGGACTACTGTAAATGTTGAGGGGGCTTTTCCTCCCAACTTTGAGGCCCTGCTCCATGTCTTGGTTTCAAGGGTAGGACTTCCCTCCCTCACCCAGGTCTGTGTTCAACCCCCCTGCAGGGCCAACAGGCAGTGGAAAGACGACATTCATCAGTGAGTATGCCCTAGATTTATGTACCCAGGGGGTGAACACGCTATGGGGTAGCTTTGAGATCAGCAACGTGAGATTAGCTCGGATCATGCTAACACAGTTTGCTTTGGGGCGGCTGGAAGAGCAACTGGACAAATACGATGAGTGGGCCGACCGCTTCGAGGACCTTCCCCTCTATTTTATGACTTTCCATGGGCAACAGAACATCAGGTAAGATTCCCAGGCCTGGGGTTTTTAAAGAATGGGAGGGCAGGAGAACAGACCCTGGGGTTTTCAGAACGCTGGCTTTCTGCCTGGGTTGGATGGGAGACTACTTGTAATTGACTCTTGAATTCATTGCCTCTTCTTCTTCCCAGGACTGTAATAGACACAATGCAGCATGCGGTCTATGTCTATGACATTTGTCATGTAGTCATCGACAATCTGCAGTTCATGATGGGTCACGAGCAGCTGTCCACGGACAGGTGACATCCTTTTGTCTCTCTGGAACCCCCTTGAACACACATGTCTTCTCAGGCAGCTGGCCCCTAGGCACTCACACTGTACTCTCTTGTTTTCTGACACGTGTCCAGACATACCCCACTCCATGTCTTTATGCGGCGTGGGTGTAGCAGCAGGAAGTATGGACAGGGACCTAAGTGTGAGTCCTTGGGCAAAGAGTATAGAGTGGGTTGTGGTGCTTTGTGGAGACGTGAATGAATCAAGAGTATGTGTATATTCTTGTCCTGTCGATATCTGATAACCTCTTTGCTTTGTTGGGGTGGGTGTAGGATTGCAGCTCAAGACTACATTGTTGGGGCTTTTCGGAAGTTTGCGACAGACAGTAACTGCCATGTGACGCTGGTCATTCATCCCCGGAAGGAGGATGATGATAAGGAACTGCAGACAGCATCCATTTTTGGTTCAGCCAAAGTAAGTGACCTTTAGAGGAGCCCACACTTTGGAAAGTAGAGGGGCAGGTGTGACCAGGCAGTCCTTCGTTAGCCTTAACTCGTCTTGATTTCATCTGGAAGAGGCAGCTGGGGCCATGACATGAGGAATATAAAGGCGAATAATTGTAGGTCCTTTCCTCTCCTTCCCCTCCAGGAGCTCACATCATCTAGTGGGGAAAACAGTGAGACAGTGATTACAACTCAGTGTGATAAAAGCTCTGATAGGTAGCACAGGTATTTGGGGGACAAAGAGAAAAGACATCTGAGTCATCCTGGGGTATCTGGGGAGACTTCCTAGAGGAGGTGTCAGTAAAGGTTGGGTTGACTTTTGGCCAATAGTGGGTGTTTAATAACTAAATGGGAGGGCCTTCTGGGCAGCAGGACCAGCCCAATCCTGGAGCTTCCGAGGTACACTGAATGCCTATTTCATGCCAGGCCTGGGCTGGGCACAGGGAACACAGGGTGAGGAGCACAGACCATGTGCTACGATGAAACAAACATGGAGCTGGGGAAGAGAATAACACTGAAGTAGAAAGATGGTGGTGCCTTCTCTATTTATGGGGATTAAGAATGGTCTCTCTGATAAAGTGAGACATTTACTCTAAGACCTCAATGATAAGAAACTGGGGTTGAGTGGGCTGATGGGCTGTATAGGAGAAGTGTTACAAGCAGAGGGAACAGCAGGCACAAAATCTGGGGATGGTAGCAAGATTGCTAAGGAACTGAAAAACTCAAGTGGCCCCAGCATCATGGTCAATAGTTCAAAAAGCTTTGATGAAAAGGGAAAGGACTTTTTCCTTTCCCCATTCTTGCCACTTCTCCCTACACGCTCGACCTTCCTTCCTGCTTCTCTCAGATGTCTTCTCACTGCTCCTTCATCCTCTGCTCCCTGTCCCTCAGGCAAGCCAGGAAGCGGACAATGTTCTGATCCTGCAGGACAGGAAGCTGGTAACTGGGCCAGGAAAACGATACCTGCAGGTGTCCAAGAACCGTTTTGATGGAGATGTAGGTGTCTTCCCACTTGAGTTCAACAAGAGTTCTCTCACCTTCTCCATACCACCAAAGAGCAAGGCCCGGCTCAAGAAGATCAAGGATGACAATGGCCTAGTGGCCAAAAAGTCCTCTTCTGGTAAAAAGGGGGCTGTGCCCCGGAACTCTGAGACTTTCTCGGGTGAGGCCCCCAACCAGCCAGACCCCTCCCAACTTTCAAGGTGAAGGAGATAGCGGAGGACACTGGAACGAGCCTGACAGGACAGGTTGGGGCATAGGCTCTTCCTTGGCCCTCTGCTAGGACTGCCTCTGTCCTGTGGTCCTAAGCGATGGGCCCTTCTCAGTGTGAAGGGCCTAGCCTAGGGCAGGGTCCCCTAGGGAGAATTCAGTTTAGCAGATATTTGAGAAACTACCGTGTGCCAGGCTTTGTTCTAGATCTGGGAATACAGCACTGACAAGACAGATGAAGTCCCTGCTTCCATTGAAAATGCAGTCTGGTGAGAGTACAAAATAAGTTAATGGACAAATAAACACAAAACGTAATTTCAGGTAGTGAAAAATTCGAACTGAAAAAAAAAAATAGTAATGCGATAGTGCTTACAGGCTAGTTTAGATTAAGGTCTGAAAAGGTGTCTCTGAACAGAAAACCTTTGAGCTGGGGCCTTAAGAACTAGTATTGAGCCATGTGGACATCTGGAGAAAGAGGGATCCAGGTAGAAGGAAAAGGAAATAGGCCCTGAGGTGGGAATGAGCAAGTCGAGTTCGAAGCAGTGAAGTCAGGCCCCCTGAACCTGGAGAAGAGGAGACTTCTTGCCAAAATTCCAGCCTAGGCTTTCGGAGCCACAGGGTGACATGGTGGGTACCAAGCTCCTCCGCTCCCCACTCTGGAGCCTGCTGTGCGGTGGCACTATCATTGGATCCTAGGTCCTTGGCCCTGTAACATCAGGGCCCTGTGATGAAGGTGGAAGCTTGGCCAGAGAGCCATGGAAGGAAGCTGTGAGCACAGAGTGCCTGCCACCTGGACACTGATTGTATGGAATGCTGCCTCTGACCACTTGAGTGGATGCAGGCATAACTTTTTGTAGAGCCTTTCCCAGTTTTATTGAAAAAAAAAAAAAAAAATGTTTTTTCTCATTGCCTTTGTTTCTGTGCTGCTTCTTATTTGTCCACTAGGTGTCTCCCCAGTCAAAGTGGATTTTCTCACTTTGAATTGGGAGTGGATGGGACCTCTCCTGCCTGAGCTGTGTGCTCCCAAGGAAGCAAAAGCATTAAAGGGCCTTCACACACACACTCCTTTACACCTCTTCCTGGCCTCGGGAAGACAGGATGGTGCCTCTTTATCCTGTTTTCCCTGAGGATCTTCATATGACCCCTCTCACCAGACCACATGCCTAGGCTCTGCCTGACCTGCTGTCTCTCTGTGATATGAGCCACTCACTGAGCTCTCAGTGTGGACTCAGGCTCAACGTATTCTTATCTGGCCCCCCGTCCATTTTCACCCTCCTGTACCTTCCTTTTTTTAATATATTTTATTGATTTTTTACAGAGAGGAAGGGAGAGGAATAGAGAGTTAGAAACATCGATCAGCTGCCTCCTGCACACCCCCTACTGGGGATGTGCCCACAACCAAGGTACATGCCCTCGACCGGAATCGAACCTGGGACCTTAAGTTGGCAGGTCGATGCTCTGTCCACTGAGCCAAACTGGTTAGGGCCTCCTGTATCTTCTTAGCGTTTCTCTTATGTTAGTGTGTGTGTTGGAATACATAGGGCTCTTGTTTGAAAAAGCAGAAACTTGGCCCTCTCTCACCCCAGTCCACACACACGTACACACACACAGACATGTCTAATTCTAGAAGTTCGAGGAGAGGTATGGGACTCCTCATTTTTAACAAGGAGATGGGAAAATATGAGAGACCCTGTCAGAAATATTCCTAAATGATGACACCTGCATCTCATTTCCTTTGATATCCTAAAGTTCCAGTTTCCCTTTAGATTTGCCAGCAAGTGTGGTGAGAATGCAAGATGTTCTGAGGGGCCTGGGGAGAAAGAATCCTTTTGTAAGATTGGGAGATTGGTTCCCTCTCTGAAGCAGTGCTGCCTTACCAAGGTCTCCCTGTCAACCCAAGAAGGGCTTCTGGAACCCTGTAGAAGGGCCTGGGATCTCTGGTCTTTTATGTGTGAGAACTATAGCTACAATTGTCTCCTGAAACACACAGAGCAAAGCTGTTTTCTGTGGGGGAAGAACCGGGGGGGAAGGGAGGAGAGAGCTCCTCCAGGGCCTCCCTTCTTGGGGGTCTCTCCCAGACTGGCTGGAGCCAGGCCTCCTAATCCTGCGGTAATCATTCCCAGCCGCTGGCTGGTCTAGGCCTCTTCCAAGGTCTCTAACACTGAGTGTCAGCCATGCCTTCCAGATGTACGCCACCAGGTCAGTCCTACCTATAAGGACATGGGTTCCACATTCTGGTCTCCCTAGAATGCCTGACGTGTTCTCAGGAAATTAGGGATTTCCATTAAGGGATCTTTGTGAGATCTCTGTGAATTGGGGATAGAAGGCTTGTCTGTTTGCCTTGCCCCACTCTCCTAACAGACACCCCCACATAGCACAAACCAGAATGATGGGGGCGGGGGAGGGGGAGCTAATGCTCCCCGAACCCCACACCTTATACAAACCCATTGCATTTCACAACTGTCAAACTCACATCAAGGTGAGCCCACCATGTGTTCAGGCGTGTTTGGAGCCTCGAAAGCAGTGGGAGGGGTCCCTGGGAGCCACTGTCCCTGTACCCAGCCAAAGTGGACTGAGGCAAAGTGCCCTGCCTATGTCCACGTGGATGTTAAGCGTCTCCCTGAGAGCTCAGGAAGGGCCTGGCCAAGCAGGGCCCGGGGGACCTGCACCCCTTCTTCAGCTTCAGTGTCAGACTTGGCTGTGGGGGGGCTGTTTTGGTCCTCTAGCAGCTTCTTTACTGTGGATGGGTTTGAGGAAGGACTAAACGCCCTGGATTCTTGCAGTCCAAGTACTAAGGCTATAAATATGGCCCAGATAGCTGTAGACACCTCAGGCTGCCTTAGGTGCCATAGAGGGAGGGAGCTCTAGGTGCCTCCCTGAAATACAGGCCAATTTCCTGTTTGTGCCCGTGGGTGGAACTTTATGAGTTTAAGGGAAGCCAGGCTATGCTCTGTAAGGAACCAGAACTGGCAGCTTGCTCACCTGGGCAGACACCTACTCCAAGGGCGAGCTAGGTGCTGGTTCTGCTTAGGCAACCCCAACCCAAGCTGTGAGGGGGAGGAGAGGCGGGTCTGTCTTGGTGTAACCCGAGCCTTCTTTGTCTGCTTCCCAGGGATTTTCCCGTGTCTGGGGAGTGGGCCGAGAGCGGACCAGGTTTGACAGAGCAGGGATTGGCGGCAGGAAAGCCCTACAGCCAGCTTGGTTAGGACGGCCAAGTAGGTAGCTTAGCTCTCAATCACGTGCTACTCGCCCCGTCCCCAGGTCTAAAGCCAAATCAACCCAGTAAGTTGTGAAGCCAGAGGGCAGCCTCGGGCCACCTCCGAGCTACTGCGGGGCTGGGTTCTGGGTCGGCTGTTGAGGGGGTGCGGGGCAGACCACTCCCTTCCTTGGGTCGGGGGCGCGGCCTCAGCGGCCCCGCCCCGCTCCACCAGGCCGGACCTGGCGGGCGCCCGGAGCCCGGAGCGGGCTTGAGAGCCGGCGGATCTGCGGCGAGAAGGTGCCCGCGCTGGAGCCGGACCCGGAGCCGGGCAGGAGCTGGAGCGGCGACGCAGGTGGCATCGGGTGAGTGGTGGGGCCGCAGGGGCGTAGGAACTCGCGCCTCCCACACATCCCGGCACCAGAGGAAACTTTCCCGTCTGGCGAAGCTGGGGGTTGGGATGAGGAGGGGGGTTCCCCACGCCAGGGCGCAGGCGAAGTGTCTGAACAGGAAACCGACACGGAAACCCACGCACGCGTGCACTCAGACCCATGCACGCACTTGGGACGCACGAACACACGTGCACTCAGGAAAGGACGCGCCCCGTGGGTTGCTCTTGCAGTCCTTGGAGCAGCGTCGCGGGCCCGCGCGGACCCCAGCGGACAGGGACCTCTGCTGTCGCGTAATTGACAATTGACGGGGGTGGGCGAAAAGGGCCGACCGGTCACGGAACGGGGTGGGCCAGGTGGGACACCTCACACGGCTCCTACTGCCCCGGGGCCTGCAGGTGAAGACTAAGACGTAAACAGGCACCGAGCACGTGATCACGTTACGGACAAGTGGGCTGTGCTTCCCCCCACCCCCGCAACCGGGCGAGGACGGCCCTCCCCAGTCCAGGGCGAGTTTTCGGGTCCCTTGCGGGGACTTTATTCCATTCTCCGCCTAGAGAGGTGATAAACCCTCCTCCAGAAACGGGAGCACAACGCCCCCTGGAGTCGGGGTAGCGCAGGAGAACGGGAGACGGACTGGGGTGGGGTTACCTGGGCTCCTGCCCTCCTTCTCGCGAACACATTCGTGGTGCACTCATCCCTGAAGGTAGGGGGGGGCGGGGAGAGGGCACTATTCTTGACGGCAGAGGACAGCAACCTGCCCCCCTTTCCCCGTCCCATACCTCCAGCCTGGGTAGCAGCTGGCTGAACACCCGTCGGTTCCCTTCCTACTAAGACCCCTCCTTGCAGAACTGGGAGCTCCTCCCCCCAAGGTAGGAGCAGAAAACCCACGCACGCAAGAGTGGGAGTCCCCGCCCCCCCAGAGAATGCGGGAGCATAATCCTCCCCTCAGTACTGGAGTGGTCCTATGCCCCTCAGGGAGGGGGAGGACGAGTCCTCCGCGAACATGAGGGAGGGGGCAGAGGCCACCAGCCTCCCTCCTTGCCCCACCCCCCACCCCTACGCACACGCTGAGCCCAGCTGCGGCTGGAACTTCTGGGCCTGCTGCCAGAAAGGGGAGGCGGCTCCGGGTGCCCCAGGAGGCAGGGATCTGGGCAAGACCAGAGGAGGGGGTCTCCACTGGAGAGAGGGGCCCCCGTCTGTTCTTGTGAGGCTGAGGATCTGGGGTGAGCCCGAGGGTGGCTGGGCTATGTTTCCCTTTCCAGGGAAAAAGAAAGAAAAACAACCCTTTCCATAGAGCTAAAAATAGAGCTGAGCGTCGGCCAGGTCTGTGGCCTGGAAGGGGAGGGTGGGGGCAAGATGCTCCTTCCTGGGGCAGAGGAGCTCTGGCAGGCCTGGCCCTGGCGGTGGTGGTGGATGGGGGTTTGGGGGCAGGAGGCTGTCCTTGCCCAGGGATGCTGGCATCAGCTGACCTGCCTAGGTCACAGAGACCCCTACAGGAAAGTATGTGCGTAAGAATGTTTGAGAAACGTGTGCCTGTAAGAAGTTGCGACTGTGAATAAGACCGTCAGTGTGTGAAAGATGCTTAGGAGAGGAAGTGCGTTTAAGATTGTGACTGGGTGCAAGGACTGCGAGTTGTGCAAGCCCGTGCACAAGTAGCCGTGTGACTCCGACCGAGTCTGTGTGAGTCGGCCTGAAAGATTATGGAAAGTCGGAACTTGGCACCAGGAGATGAATGGGCTCTGATTTGTGGCTGTGTGAAACCGAAGGTGGGGAAGGTTGTGTTTGTTCTTTGCCAGAAGTTGAGAATATCGGTGACCCCGACAAGACCGTGGAATGTTGTGAGGCTGGTGTGGGTTTGGACCCGTGATTACCCCAGTGATTGTTGAAGGGCCAGGGGCTACCTCTGCGAGCAATGACCTTTCTCCTAGCTGCTAGGACCTAGCAGATGACTCTGAGGGAAGGCTGGAGAGGGTCCAGTGCGGTGGAGTCGGCTAGGGGCCACGCCGAGGTCCAGGGGCGGGATTACTGGCTGTGTTTTCCGAACCTGCCACCAGGTGGCGCCGCCTCCGCAAAGCCAAGTGTGCCGCCTCCTGGCCGCTGGGGGTGGGGCAGGCACCCACCGAGCCTCGCTCCCCGGCTCGCGCTGGGGCGCGGGGCCCCGGCCGCTGTAGAGAGTGGGCGGCAGCGGACCCTCAGCCTCCCCCTCTGGCCTCTGAGGTCGGAGAGTGTGTCTGGGGGGAAGGGGGTGCGAGGGGGACGCTTCTACTGGAGGAGCGGAGGGGGCAGGGCGGCCGCCGCGGCTCCGGGCCCTTTGTGCTTGAACAATGACCAGCTGCCGCTGGCCCCGCGGTCGGGGTTGAGGTAGAGGGTGAGCCGCCGCCGCCGGGTCTTAAGCCGATCGAGCCCTCAGATGCACCGCCACCCGGCCCGGGGGAGAGGGAGCTCGGCTTCGCAGCCCCCGCGTGCGTCCGGACACGCGTGACGCGCGGTGCTAGCGCGTGGCCGCGCCCCGGGGGCGGGGACGCCCCTGGGACCCCTCCCCCGCGCCGCACCGCCCCCTCCGGTCGGGCGGGGGCTGCCCCGCAGGGGGCGCCGTGGAGGCGGGGCGGGTTGGGCCCGGCGGCTGCGAGTGGCCGCGCGCGGGCTGAAGCCGGGCGGCTCGCCGGAGGAGCGCGGGGGGCGGCCCGGGGCTGAGCATGGAGCAGAGCGGTGGAGGTGAGGGGGGCCGGGGCGGGGTGGCGATCTGGGGGCGCCCCCAACTTCTGCGTGGCGGAGGGCCAGTGGGAAGGGGGCATTCCACAGCGGCCCCCACTTTATGGAAGCGGAGGCGGGGTGGGGGGGCTCTGGAGGGTGGAATGGGGGCTCCCGGCTTCCTGTTGCAGAATGGGAACTGGTGATCCCAGGCGCGTTCCCACTTGACTGCTCCTGGGGATTCGGTGCGGGGAGACTTTCCCCAACTCTCCACCCCAGAGCGGGTCCGTGGGGCCTTCAGACCCTGGCTAGACCTCCCCAGGGCCGTGGCCGAACGCTGCCCTCGGCTCCCCCCAGCCCACTCAGGTGGGCTGCTGTGCCAGAGGGGTCACCCCAGGAGTGCTGGGGAGAGTGGGGGTTCCCATTCCACAGCCGGAGACGCGTTTCTCAAAATGGAGCCTCTCCTTGCCCCTCCTTCTCTCGGAGGCTCCAAGAGCGGGAGCCTGGCTGGCTGGGCCTGGCTTTCCAGACGCCTGGCTCTGGCTCTGGCTCTGGCTCTGGCTCCGGCTCCAGCTCTGGCTCCGTGGGTGTCTGGTTCGCAGGGCCTAACTTTATGTCTCTTCTGGATTTAGGGGCCCCTGGCTCCGTGGGGTTCAGGGGCCCTGGCCTCACTGAGTCTGTCTGTCTCCTTGTCTACCTGACACCCTGGGGCCTCTGAGTCTTTGTCTCTGGTCTTTTGGGTCCCTGTCTCTGAGTCTCCTCCCCTCTGTTTCCACTTTCTCGGTGCTCACTGAAGTGGGGAAATGCAGGCAGAGGTGCCAGCCCCCTAAGAAGCCCCTTCCCCGCTGTTGTCTGCTGCTCTGGAGCCGCCTGGGGCAGGGCAGAGGAGGGGGTAGTCCACTCACTTTGCTCAGGGCTGGCACTTGTGTGGTAGACAGTGCTCACCCCCACCCCAGCTCCCAGCTCCTCCTGCCTTAGTCTGGACATCTTCCAGGGTCTCAGGGTCTTTGACTTGAGTAGGGAGGTGGGGGTGGACTTAATGGAACACAAGAAAGATGGGGAGCAGATCAGGCAGAGGAGTCAGATAATCTCTCTCCCACATTCCAGTGAGGGGCAAAAATCAACTCCCACTCACCCGGTTGGCCCTGCCTCTGTGCCACCCAGGCCCCCACCGTCTCTCACACATGCTCCTATTCACACGCACACTCCTTTGTACACACTTACACACATTCACTTTCCTGTGCACACACTTGTGTAAAATAATGTGAGTTTACATATAAACTCAGGTTTATATGAGTGGACATTTGTCCAAACATATTCTCTCAGGTAGTCACACGCATATGCCACACATTCACTTAGTATGTATGCATTTGTAACTTTCACGTACTTTCTAAGAGTGGCCCCCCTCCTTATACACATACTCACTCTTATAAAATACACCCATAGGAATTCACACATACTCATGTATATATGAATGTGTCTACCTGCCCGTATCTATGCCCATACACTCATTCATGACGCTCTCACACACCTTTTCATAGACACAGTGCTGGTTTTCGTGCTGTGCATCCAGCCCCCCCCCCCACACACACACCAATAAAAGCACACGCTCCTGCTCCTACGCAGTTCTGTCCACCTCTTGGCCCCCGCTCTGCATGATGACTTCAGCAGATGCCTGAGTCCTGGTCTTCGTCCTCGCCTCAGGATGGAGGGAGTTCCGGGTGGAGACTCGCTGTCCCCTTCCAGGAAGGAGGAGGGCCTGGGAGGTGGAGCCCTCTTCCCTGGGCTCCGGGGAAGTGAGATCTTGAAGCAGCTGCCAGAGGTGATGGTAGGGCTTCTACCCTCATCCCTTTGGGATCACTCTGGGGACCACCTAAAGCTGGAAGGTTTCATAGAAGCTGGCAGCAGGCCTGTGTAGATTCCTGTAGGCCCAGCTGATTGGGTATGGTGAGGCTAGAAGTTGTCATGGCAACAAGCATGAACCTGCATGGAATCAGGAGACCCCAGAGGGCACCTGTGGGCTCCCTAAGAGCTCTGAGTTTCTTGTTTGGCCAGCTTCACCCTTGCCGCCTCTGTGTCTGGGAGAAACTGAGGCCCAGCTGGGGGAGGCTGGGCACTGCCTGGCCTTGGCTCTTTGTTCCCTAATTACCATCTGAGTTGCTGACTTGGTCCCTGAGGTTACTTCTGCCCAAACTGCCCTCTAATGAGGCCACCTGTCCCAGGGGACTTGATCCGCCCAACCGCCTTCCTAACTTGAGTCCTGGCCTCTGTGGGGGATGCAGTTTGGGGCTGGGCCCTGCAGAGCCACTAGGCCTCCCCTCCCCTCATCATCCCTGCTCAGTAGACTCAGTCCTCTGCCCTGGGCCGTGGTCTGGGGTGCAGGGAGAACCAAGGTTCATGCCAGTGCTCGGAGGGGGAACTTTGGGGGCAGTAGCTAACATTATTGATATCAGGGGGCTGTTCGACCTGAGATCGGGGGTCAGGAGAGGCACTTGGAACCTTTCATAGGGAGGGGGCTCAAGGTGGAGGGACTCTGACACCACTGCCCTGCTTGCAGGTTCCCCTGGAGGCCCACGGCCAGGCCAGAGGTTCTGCCGCCATGGCCATTGTGCAGACTCTGCCGGTGCCACTGGAGCCCGCTCCTGAGGCCACCACGACCCCACAAGCTCCAGCCATGGGCAGTGTGAGCAGCCTCATCTCAGGCCGGCCCTGCCCTGGGGGGCCAGCTCCTTCCCGCCACCACGGCCCCCCTGGGCCCACCTTCTTCCGCCAGCAGGATGGACTGCTGCGGGGTGGCTGTGATGCACAGGAGCCACTGTGCCCAGCTGTGCCCCCCAGGAAGACCGTTCCTGGCACCACCTTCACCTACATTAACGAGGACTTCCGGACAGAGTCACCCTCCACCCCCAGCAGTGACATCGAGGATGCCCGGGAGCAGCGGGCACGCAATGCCCACCTCCGCGGCCCCCCACCAAAGCTCATTCCTGTCTCCGGAAAGCTGGAGAAGGTGAGGACCAGCCTTCCTTTAGGGCCTGGGTGGAATCAGGAGCCCCCTGGAGAAGCTAGAGGAATTTGGAGGTCTGTGTAACAGTGTGGGCTCCTGATTCACCAGACCTGAGTGCTAATCCCAGCTCTGCCTCATTCTGGTTATATTACCTCAAGGAAGTCATTTAACTGTCCTGAGCCTGTTTCCATATATGTGACATGGAGGTGATAGGTCAGCTGTAATGAGTTTGTTGTGAAAATGAAATAATATATGTAAAGTGCTTAGCCTAGTGCCTGGCATATACTATGGACTCAATAAATGTTAGCTATTTGAAATTGCTGTTATTCAACAGCAGTGTGTTTGACTTTGAGCAAACCTTTAACTCTGCTCAGCCTCCATTTTCTCACCTGTAATATGGGGATAGTGATCATATTTTACTCGTGTGGCTTCTGTAATGACTAGAGATGAACCTTTTAAATTACTTGACATAAAGCTGACACGCGGGAGGCTCTCAGTGGTAGCAGTTATTAATGTATGGGGATGGGGGACCCCAGATGGGAAGACAGGAAGTGTGACAAGGGCTTTGAAAGATTGAGTAGCTCATCCCCAGTGTCTCATGGCACCTCATTTCAGAACATGGAGAAAATCCTGATCCGCCCAACAGCCTTCAAGCCAGTCCTGCCCAAACCTCGAGGGGCGCCGTCTCTCCCCAGCTTCCTGGGTCCTCGGGCCACCGGACTGTCTGGGAGCCAGGGCAGCCTAACACAGCTGTTTGGGGGCGCTGCCTCCTCCTCCTCTTCCTCCTCCTCCTCAGCTGCTGACAAACCTTTGGCACTGAGTGGCTGGGCCAGCGGCTGCCCATCAGGGACGCTGTCCGACTCCGGCCGAAACTCACTGTCCAGCCTACCCACTTACAGCACTGGGGGTGCCGAGCCGGCCACCAACTCCCCAGGCGGGCACCTGCCCTCCCATGGCCCTGGGCGGGGCGTACTGCCAGGGCCAGCCCGAGGAGCCCCTACTGGGCCCTCCCACTCGGACAGCGGCCGATCTTCCTCAAGCAAGAGCACAGGCTCCCTGGGGGGCCGCGTGGCTGGAGGCCTCTTGGGCAGCGGTCCCCGGGCCTCCCCTGACAGCAGCTCCTGTGGGGAGCGCTCCCCACCACCGCCCCCACCCCCTCCGCCCCCTTCGGACGAGGCCCTGCTGCACTGTGCCCTGGAAGGGAAGCTCCGTGACCGTGAAGCAGAGCTGCAGCAGCTGCGGGACAGTCTGGAGGAGAGTGAGGTGACCATGTGCCAGGTGTCCGTGGTGATCATGGGGGTGGCGTGGCAGGACGTGCAGAGGTGCTGGGAATCCAGGGAGCATTTCCGTTGGTTTCAGGGTGGGGGCAAGTGGTGGGCAGTTGTGACCCCATTCCCACCCAGTTGTCTGGCCGAACTGTAGAGTGGTGAGGATTCAAACCCAGCACTGCCATTTACCTATGAGTACTAAGCCTCAGTTTCCTCATCTATGAATGAGGGTATTTTTATTCTCTGAGTTATGAGTAAGGCAAAGGGTGTAAGTGTTTAGAATAATGCCCGGCACTTAGGAAGTGCTACTTAAGTGCTTGCTGCTATTATTGCTGTTTCTATTACCATAAAAGTACTTGTCACTGTGGTCATATTATTACCATTGTTCAGTGTAATCTAGCCGCCTAAAGCCCCAGTAGGCCACCAGAGCAGTCAGTGATTGGGGGCAGCTAGGGCTCGAAGTTTGGGGGAGCTGCCAGGACCCAGGCGTGCCTTCTCGCCCACAGGTGTATGAGGATCGGCAGCGGCACTGGCAGCGGGAGCGCGAGGCCCAGCGAGAGGACGGGGCGGCCCAGGCGCAGCGGGCCCAGCGAGCTCAGCAGCTGCTGCAGCTGCAGGTGTTCCAGCTGCAGCAGGAGAAGCGGCAGCTGCAGGATGACTTTGCGCAGCTGCTGCAGGAACGGGAACAGCTAGAGCGGCGCTGCGCTACCTTCGAGCGGGAGCAGCGGGAGCTCGGGCCCCGGCTCGAGGAGACCAAGTGGGAGGTGGGTCAGACCAGGAGGGACAGGAGCAGGGTCCTGCAGGAACAACCCGGAGAAAGAGGGGCCCAGGAACACCCCAGCAGCCTGCCACCCCTAGAGGACCTCCCCTTCCTCACCTCTGTGAGATGAGGATCCCCTTCCGACCTCCCTTTCTGGGAGGGGGCCTCCTTGTGTCTCCATGTTTGGCCTCCTCATTAGCCTGGTCTAGTGCCTTCCAGCCAATAATAAGAATGCAGTGCTTGCTATGCACCAGGCACTATTCAAAGCATGTTACGTAGACAGTTATCATCTAATCTTCATTAACAGCCTATGAGGTGGGTCCTGTAAATACTTTGAAGGAAAAAAATCTGGGTCTGTATCCAATTTAGCCGCTGACTAACTGTATGACCTTGACCATGTCGCTAGGCTTGCCTCAGTGTCTTCATCTGTAAAATGGGTATAAGGATCAAACCTCCTCTCCAGAATGTCCAGCATGCTGTCAGGGCCTGACCCCCGGGAGGACCCTTCTCACCATCCTTCCTGCCTGCCTCCCACCACCAGGTGTGCCAGAAGTCGGGCGAGATCTCCCTGCTGAAGCAACAACTGAAGGAGTCTCAGGCAGAGCTGGTGCAGAAGGGCAGTGAGCTGGTGGCCCTGCGGGTGGCCCTGCGGGAGGCACGGGCAGCCCTGCGGGTCAGTGAGGGCTGGGTGCGGGGTCTCCAGGAGGCAGCCCGAGCACGAGACCTGGAGCTGGAGGCCTGTTCCCAGGAGCTGCAGCGGCACCGCCAGGAGGCTGAGCGGCTTCGGGAGAAAGCTGGGCAGTTGGACACCGAGGCGGCTGGGCTCCGGGAACCCCCTGTGCCACCTGCCACTGCTGACCCATTCCTCCTGGCAGAGAGTGATGAGGCCAAGGCACAGCGTGTGGCAGCCGGGGTTGGGGGCAGCCTGCGGGCCCAGGTGGAGCGGCTGCGGGCCGAACTACAGCAGGAGCGGCGGCGAGGCGAGGAGCAGAGGGACAGCTTCGAGGGGGAACGGCTGGCCTGGCAGGCAGAGAAGGAGCAGGTGATCCGCTATCAGAAGCAGCTGCAGCACAACTACATCCAGATGTACCGGCGGAACCGGCAGCTGGAGCAGGAGCTGCAGCAGCTCAGCCTGGAGCTGGAGGCCCGGGAGCTCGCCGACCTGGGCCTGGCGGAGCCAGCCCCCTGCATCTGCCTGGAGGAGATCACTGCCACTGAAATCTAGGGCCCTTGGGGTCCCAGCTCCGCAGGGAGCTCTGCTGAAAGGGAACCGCTGCCTCAGGTCCACTGAGGGCCCCAGAGCCACTCGTCCCCTGGGATCCAGGCCGCTGGGCCTCTGCCAAGACCCCAGGCTGCCCTATGACTTGGATCGGACCCCTTGGAGGTCCCTGTGTTCACTATCACCCAGAGGCTCCTGCTCACTCCGCCTGTTTCACTCCCCACCTGTTGCCAGTGCCACTCTGCCAACCCCAAACGCTCACCAGCTCAACCAGCCAGGGGGCTGGGGAGAGGAAGGAGCTCCCTCGTCTCCACACTCCAAAGCCAGAGAGAGCCAGACAGCGCCAGCTGCTCCAGATGTGCCTGCCCTACCCTGCCCATGTTGGGGGACAGGGCTGGGACTGGGGTCTGGTCCCCAGCTTCCAGCTCTGCAGCCTCTCAACTGTGGTGAGGGGGCTATAGTCAGACCAAAGGAAGAACTCAGAAATGTCTTGTTTATTTGTGTTTGTGACCAAGTTGCCCCTCCCTACACCCTGGTGTATGGCCTCGTTTTCACTTGTATATTTTTCACACTGTAAATTTCTTGTACAAACCCAAAGAAAAAAATTAAAAATTTTTTTGATTTTTAAAAAAAGGTGAGTGTGTTGGATAAAGATTATGGGAACTTGTTTGACCCTCCCCCAGCCCCTCTTTTATTTGCTGGCTATTCCCCTACCCCTCATGGAGGTCTTTGGGGGAGAAAGGGAGATGGGGAAAGGACAAATCCAGTAGAAAGTCTACAGCTCGTGGACCACAACAGGAAATGGTCTCTCTGAGTTTGAGAAATGAGAAAAGACTTCATCCTGTTCCTTGCATAGAACACTGCTTGGGGCTGGGAGGTGGATGCAGTGACTGCTTGAGGGCTATCTCGGAGGGTCCATGTCCCCCAGTGCTTGGGAGAATCAAAGGGGCATCATGAGAAAGTACCCTCTGATCCCAAGTTCCAGACCTTGGGCTTCTCGACCTTCCTGTCTTGGGAGGTTAGGAGCAGCGAGTAGGTGACACAGGCTGCCCAGTAGCACCTTGTCCTTGACACCAAGTTTGTCTGGAAAGGGCAGAGCCTTGGGGGAGGGAAGAAAGCAGGGACATCTGAGCCGCCAGCGTGGAGCTCTGGGAGTAGGCAAGGCAAGAGGACTGGGAGGTTCCTGAGTCAGAAGGTCAGTAGGCGAGGTCTGGGAGAGCAGGAGGATTCCGGGGTCAGTGGGAGGGTCTGAGGTCAGTGGGAAGAGTCATGAGATCGCTGGGGAGAGCTGGGTTAGAATCTAGAGTCTGGAAGGTTGTAGAGGGGACTGGGCTGGGGTTGTGGCGTCAGTGGCAGAGGTCTGGATATTGTTGGGAAGGGCCCTGTGAAGTTCTGGCAGCCAACGGGCGTACCATCCAGGGGTCAGCGGGCAGGGGAATGGTCCGGAGGAAGGAGCTGATCGCTGGGTGCTGATGAGTCAGAGGGCAAGGGTGGCAGGTCGGGCCAGGGGACCCTGACCACGAGCTCCATGGGCTCCCGAGCCTTGTTTCGATACGCCCGGCGGATGGTATCCACTGCGCGCTGGTGGGTCACCTGCTCCAGGCTCTCTCCATCCACTGCCACCAGCTCGAAGCCAGCCTAGGATGGGAGTGGGGGACCACCGCCCTGCTCATCAGGTCACCCCCTACTCCAGCATCCAACCTCCACCTCCGCCAGCTAGGACACTCTCCTTCTGCGTGGAGGGGGTGGACAATGGCACTTTTGTGCCTGGAGCTGTTGGGGGCTGGGTGGGGCGCAGACAATGGCCCTTTGTCCCTTGGGGCAAGGGGTGGAACAGGATGGGCCGCCCTCAGGCCCAGGCTGGCATGAGGGGACAGATTTTTTCCTTGGCCAGCTCATACTGACCCCTCTCCTCCCACGACCTGGTCTGAACATGCCTGGCTGGCAGATGCGCATGACCCAGCCTGCCCCGGCCAGAGGCCAGAATCAGCTCCGGGCTGAGGGAGTGGGCCGGGTTGGCTTCACCCACCTGCAGGGCCCCACTGAGGAAGGCGGCCCCCCCAGGGAAGATCTTTTCTATCTTCACCATGGGCTGCACCTTGGACTCGATACCCCCTGAGATGCTGATGCCTAAAGAGAATGACAAACACAGGATAAAAGTGTGCCATCCCCCTACAACCCAGAGCTCCCAGGATAGGCCCAGGACCCCATCCCCAAACTCCAATTCTGTTACTATTCAATCCTCAACTCCCAAATCCTCTAGATCTCAAAGCCCCCAAATCTATAGATTCCCCCAACTATGCCCCAATACCCAGATTCTTTTCCTAGGCCCAGGCCCCTAGTCACATCCCCAAACCAAACCCACCAACCTTACCCAAACCCAAGAGCCCCTGCCAGGCCCATCCCCACCCGGACTCACCCAACGACTGTTTCATCTTGGACAGCGTGACTGTCCTCAGCTCCCCGCTGGGGGCCTTCGCGGCTGCCTGCTCAGCTGTCCTGCCAGGTCCATTCTCGCTGGACCCTTGACTGCCTCTCGCCCCGGCTACCTGCCCATCTATAGGTCGTGGCAGCGGGGGCCTGGCCTTCCGAGGCTTGTGGTAGCGCCCGTTGGCCATGCTGGGGGTGAGGATAGGCGCTGGGGATGGGGACCGCCTGCGTCCAGGGGACTTGCCTCGACCCCGGCTGCGGCTGCGGCTGCGGCTGCGGCTCTGGGCCGGGCCCTGGCTCTGGCTCTGACTCTGGCTCTGGCTCTGGCTCTGGCGAGGGCCTTCTTGGGTCAGGGGCTCTGTCAGCAGCCAGTTAGGTCTCGGGGGCCGGGGAGCAACGGGGGGTGGCTGGGGAGGGGGTGTGCAGGTGCCTCGGCGTGGGGCGAAGGCATCTACTGGCACGTCTTGGAGAGGGGGGATCCCTTTATGAGGGTGGCAGGAGGCAGAGGTACCCAGGGAGACCCGGAGGTCCCCCAGCCGCTCCCTCAGCTCCCCATCATCTTCCTCCTCAGAGAAGCCATTCGCAGGCAGCAGGTAGAAGCCTCCACGGCTGTCTGGGGAAGATGGCCAAGGTCAGGCTGCCCCCTCATCAGCCCAGACCACCTTGCCAGACCCCAGTCCGTGCCTTTCTAAGGCCTAGAAGATGAGGCCTGGGTTTGCTCAGGACCTACAGGCACTGCCCGTGTTCCATTGTAAGAGCACTTTAATACTTTCTATTATAATAGTTACAGGGTTTTTTAATGTGTCTAAGAAAAAATATGACACACACCAAACTAGTCATTTCTGGGAGGTTATTGCACAGAATGATCTAAAAAGTGAGTGGGTGCCCTGACCGGTTTGGCTCAGTGGATAGAGCGTTGGCCTGTGGACTCAAGGGTCCCGGGTTCGATTCCGGTCAAGGGCATGTACCTTGGTTGCGGGCACATCCCCAGTGGGGAGTGTGCAGGAGGCAGCTGATCGATGTTTCTCTCTCATCGATGTTTCTAACTCTCTATCCCTCTCCCTTCCTCTCTGTAAAAAAATCAATTAAAAAAATATTCAAAAAATAAAAAGTGAGTGGGTTTAAAACCAATTATTAGGTAAATCATAGTGGTGAGCGGATGTGGCAGAAACGGTTCTGGTGGATGAGGGCTATCCTTCAGGAGCCCCACACACCTCTGAAACCACAACACCCACAGTCCCTGGGGGCGGGGACGAAAGAAGGCCTGTCCTCCTTCCCCGGTCCCCCTGGGTGTGCCCCCTCCCCGGCCCTGGGACTCTGACTGACCAGGCACAGGGGTGATGAGGTGACGCTTGGGTGGTGTGTCTTGCCGGGCTGGTCGCAGGGCAGGAGGCCGTACTGGTTGGAGAGAAGAGGTCAGCGGCAGGGATGGGCTGACAGGCTCCCCGATGGACACAGCTGAAAGGGCTCTTCCCCCTTTCCGTTGGGATATGCCACCCCCCTCCCCACCTGGGGTTCAGGATCCACAAGTCCTGCCCCCCAGCTGCTGACCTGCCCGGCTCTTGAGGGCCTCAAACGCCTCCAGCTCCACAGGCATCACCATGCTGTCGAAGCGGCCCAGGTCCGTGGGGGCCACCACACTCCTGGGAGAGGAAGAGACGGGGGTGGGCAAGGGTCCAGTTCTGAAGGTGCCGGGGGTGGGGGCTTTGGCCCTGGGATGGTTGGGGGGAGGTATCAGGAGCCCCCCTCCTGCCCGAATTACTTCCTACAACCCTCCCCACCTGATGTCCCGCAGCAGCAGCAGCTTTGCGGGCTTGTCCAGGATGGCCAGCAGGGGCCTCACCAGGTCCTCCACGCCGCCCTCGTGCACGTACTGCGGAGACAGGCACCCAGGTCAGAGAGCAGCAGGGACTGCCCCAGCTGGGCCAGGGGCGATGGCTGGGCATGTCGGGGGGCCCTCCATGTTAGGAAGGGCTCTCCCCATCCCTGGGCTGTCCACAGGATGTCTTATCTTGGTGACTAGGTGAAAGCCTGCAACAACAATAACAGACTTGTAACAGCGATGACAGCTATGGCGCAGGCACTCTTCCAAGCCTTTTACACGTCTCTCATTTAGCCACCGCCCACCCTGAGAGATGACATTATTGATTCCTGGTTTGCAGGTGAAGAAACTGAGGCTCAGAGAAAAGGGCTTTGCCAGCGCCACACAGATGAGGAAGTACGAAGAGGGACTGAAACCCGAGACGTCTGGCTCCGGCCTACACTGTGCGGGAAAAGGATGTGCAGTGAGTAGACTCTCCTCCCCACCTCCTTCTTCCAAGCAGAAGGAAGGAATTGGAGCCAAACACTAGGCTGTGGGCTTGGCTGGCCCATCATTTGTCTGCACACAGAGCTACAAATTAGCCTTTGTCCAGGGCTGGAATAAGGACCTTGGGGACGGGGTGGCCCTACCGAAAGCCTCTCCAGTCAGTACTCAGGATGGAGGAGGCCCTTCGGCCTGGCACTGCCCGGATGTCACCGACCACACCCACCAACGCAGACAAACTGGCAAACTGAACACTGGCAGCCACCCTAACGAACACATACCGCTCCCTGGTGGTGAAAGGGAGACACGTACTGATTCAGGGACACAAACACAGAGCATCCTGTATGGGCATAGACACAGAGAAACAGCATGCCCTGGTGGTCAGAGCGAGACATTCATACATATCCGGAAATAAATAAAAGATAAACGATGTGTGTGGCTCTAAACCACACACAAAGTTATAGGGACTTACGCATACACATATGGATAATATACCCCAGATAGTCACAGATGTGCACAAGCTTCAAGTTCGCACACCTGCATTCAGCACCCACTACGTGCCAGGCTGTGTACCGGAGGGTGGCAGTCGGGGCACAATAATAAAAATCCTGCTCCAGATCTTCAGGAACTCAGTGTAGTCGGATTGAGGGGCAGAATGAACCACATGCCCCAGTGAACTACAAACCATTCACAGAGGGAGTCTCGGAGGAGGGTGGGAAGGTCAGAGTGGGCTTCATGGAAGCGGTGGCATTTACACCGACTCTTAAGAATAAATTCAGGGATCAGCATGAGTGTTGGGAGAAAAGTGCTCCAAAGGCGATGTAGACCAATGGGTAGGTAGAAGTTTAACCTGATCGCGAGTTACATAAAGGCCCTCCACGTAGGCCGCGCAGGTTGT